CTACCCTCACTACCCCAACTACCGTCTATATGGGTCCAAAAATCGTTCTTTAGGAATATACCCTAAAGATCTGACTACCCTACTCACAACATTACCCTTTTATCGTTGCGATTAACTTCAAAGCACGATCAGACGTTTTTTTTATGCTGATAAGTGATTAATTTCGTTAAAGTGTCAATTGTATATTAATTTTATAAATATATCTAAATCCAATAGATTTTTTCTTCGCAGATAAACTTGTAAAATGGGGGAGTCGCAGGATTCCTCAAAACAGGTAAGTTTTATTTGTTATTTTGATATATCTAAAGATGTCAAATTTTCTGATTTCTGTAAGTAATACACAATTATAACATATTGGGAATGGTAGGTGAATTCCTAGTAGAGTATTTTTGAACCACCCCCCCCCCTCTTGTCATTTTGCACATCCTTCTTATGTATGCAACACATAGGTGTAGTTTAGACATGTGGCCGCAGCGCCGGCCCCCTGACTTGTCCTAGCCGTGGCGCTCGGCACCCTAGCATGTCATAGACGCAGCGCTTGGCCCCATAGGCTGTCCCATAGCTCAACTCTGAAATAATCAAAACAATTATAAATTTCATGTTGAACTGTTTGTGGGCGGAAGGGGGGGCCCGTCCTAGTCTACGATTTGGGGCAATCTCAGAAAACGATTTCTGGATCCTTTCTTTATATTAATTAGATTGATCCTGAGCTTGAGGCGAGGTTAGATCAAGATTATGTATCTCAGCTTTTCAATAAGATAAACTGGGAGTCTAGGAAGAAACCAACAACTAGAAGGAATCCAGACAGGTTACAATTACATATACAAGTCCAGGGTCCACATTTAAGAAATAATGAGAGAATTAATAGTATGGAATTCTGAGATATATATTCCCCTGTAGAATTCTAAATCAGGGGTATTCAGTTTTGATGATATGGGAAAAACTGAAAAAAAATGAGATTTAAGGGGAAGTTATATTTACCCTTGAAAACTTATTTATTTTTCGAATTCAGCGATTAAACCCCAAGAAAGGGGGGGGGGTGATAATTTGTCATGAAAGAAAACACCCCTGTTCTAAATTCACCAACAGTTCCTTTGTTATAGATGGATGCACCCTGATGTGTACGAGAAATCCTATACATATAAATATTTATGGTATAAACTGGAACCAGAGCAAATAGGTAAATAGGTCCCGGATCCGATAGGATAGGGTTCCGCAAAAATATGAGAATTCAAGGGAATAAATATCATCCTATCTGTAACTGTACTCTCAAACCCCCAAACTCAACTGTCGAAAAAGGAGAAGAAGAAAAATCTAAAACTTAAAATTAATATTTTTTAATCTAATATTTTGAATGGTTGACCTTTTGGCATATTAAAATGCTAAAAAATAAGAAGAAAAATGTAAAACCCTTTTTTTGGTTAGACCTGGATCCGGATCCATTTTTTCTGAGCGGATCCGGATTCCCATAAGAATTAAACTTGTTTTACTTGTAGTGCATAATCAAGCGCCCCACTGCGAGTGAAATTGTAGATAAATAGTATAAATCTTCCAGTCTGTTTCATAGGCATTACATTTTCATCTTCTTATTCCTCTGACTGACGGAGTTTCAATTGCGAACAGTGTGCTTAGGATCCGTTTCATCCAGACCATAAACATATGATAAGATTTATTGATTTTTGAACAACTGTAAAATTCTCCATTTTTCGCTTACTGTTTTGCTAAAACTTGTTTAATCATCCAGGGATTAAGAAATTCTTAATAATCTCTTATTTTTCAACAGTTCAGATTTGTGTTTTGTAAGCAAAAGAGTTATTAAAATGGTAATGGAGCTCTGTACTGATACATTTTGACTATTTTTTTTGCTTGTTGTAAATTAAATAAGGCCAAAAAAGGCAAAATCTGCATGAATTAAAAAATTTCGTCAAAGAAAATTCAAAACTAGTGTAAAATTTATCTGAGTATTTTTGCCAAAAAAGTGTCCCAAAGTTGTGATGTGAAATATTTTAATTAGATTTGAGTAATCCCTTCGATGTTGATCCTGGAAACCCGCTGCGTCCTAAGCTGGAGAAGAAGAAGGGTCGGAAGAAAAAGGAAATTACTCAGATGGATATGGTAAAAAATATGTCTGCTTTGTTCTGTTCATAAAATTTTAATGTTTTGTAAAAAATGAACTAACTCTTTTTTATGAACATATAACTTAATAAAACAATGTCTTTACTTAAAACAAAAAGTCATATATTTTTTGTTCCTTTTTAGATATTGTTCTTATTTCATAATTATTTAGCGAACAATACAATTTGCTTCGTTCAAGCATATTCTTTGTCGGAGTTAACATTTTTAAATTTCGCAGATTTTTTGAGAGCCTTAAAACCAGAAAACACCTAATGTAAAAAATCCGAGACTGCGATTTTAAAAAATCTGGAAAATACGGCTCAGGTCTAAGCTTTCGTTGGGCCTTACTTACAGCTTGAGCTTTTGGATTTAAGCTGCATCTTATTTTCCACCGAGTTGAGTTCAAAAAACCGGTTTAATATTCTATTTGTTGGATTTTCATGGTAGGAATTGGCGCATACCGGGTTCACTCAACATTGAACCTTATTCTCCACTAAAATCAACCAAAGTCGGTTTTATTATAATTGGGCCTAACTCCTTAAGTCGAGCAGAAGATCTTGCAGCTGTCAATCACGTGACACTAGCTGTCGTTAGAGTTGGGTCGAAGATTGGGTCTTAAAGTCGGGTTTAAGGAATTACGACGCGAGCCAAAGTTTTTAAATCACGGGCTACGGATATATTATGATTTTTGACAAAAGATAAAAAATCTGTAATTTTTTGCTAAACAAAACCTGTACCAAAGTTCTAGAAATACATTTGGAAAAAACACAAATTTCTTGCGGAATGCGGATCTTGTGATCGAAATCGTCAGTTTTATTTTTTTAATTTTTTTCTGTATTCAGATTTTGACAAATTCAAAAGTTGTTAAATTTGCATGAATTTTAACTTTCATGATGACATAAATTATTTTCATATGTTCATTTCATTGTTAATCTTTATTTGATTTGATGGCTAAAAAAATGAAAATGTCAAAAATGAGAAACGAAATAAGATAAAATACCAAGAAAATATAAAGAATCGGCTCAAAATAAGCAAACTTGTCTGTTACAACATTTACATTGTACCAATGGACATGCCTTTGTTACTAACAGAAGAAAACAAGGGTCTTTAATACAGATGTATTATGTACTAGCTTGAGGGTGACATGGAAACGCCTCAACACGGAAATTTCTCAAAAAACGGACTCATAAAACTAATTTAATGTCGTCTTCTCTCATTAAAAAAATATTTTAACAATTATTTTACCATTAATTTAGGGTATGTAAGGTTGCGCCGTAGGCTACGGAGGGGGCCGAGCGCTGCGGCTAGGATGGGCTAGGGGGCCTAGCGATGTGACTAGGACAGGCTAGGGGGCCCAGCGCTGCGCGGCTAAAACAGGCTAGGAGGGCGAGCGCTTCGGCTATGGCTGTGAAAATCGTTAGAATATAGTCTTTTTAATTTAAAGTTGAGAGAAGACGACATTAAATTATAATTCTGTTTTTTTTTGAGGCGTTTCCATGTCACCAGCTTGGGAACCCAGCGTTGTCATAGTTAAACCCACCATTCACCCACCCGTTCTCGTAAATTACGATTTTACCCATGTTTTCCCTATACAAGTGAACCCACTCACTCTAAACCCATCTAAGAACATTCCCGTGGTTCTCCCAAATTCCCCAATCAAAATTTGAGACAAATCGGTCAAGGGGTTCATGCGTTATGATCGGACAAACAAAAAACAAACAGAGATTACAACTTTAAATATATATAAAGATAGAAATCATGCACTGTAACTCCTAATACATCTCTTTTCTAGAGATATCCCGAAAGTAAATTAAGCTCGGATCATTTAGATGACCGAGGGATTGAAGGAGGTGAAGGAGGGTGAGGAGGAGAAGGAGGATGAAGATGAAGGAGATTTTATTGATGAATATGGAAACATTAAACCTGTGGGGATCCGAACTAATAGAAAGGTAACCTATTTTCCACTGTGCAGGTGTGTACAAGTTACAAGATTCTTTGTTTGTTTAAAAAAAGATGGGTTTTTACACTTCCTAAACAAACCAAAAAGATCCAGAAATTCTAGATTTAAGTTAAAAACGGAAATATGATTCAAACAGAATATACCAGGGAGAATTATTTTTTATTAAGGGCCTTTATGATGCTTCTACTTTAAATTGTTTATTTCCCCAAATCAGACATAAAAAAAATAGTTTTGCTCTCCGCCACGAGATGTCAGAAGTTAATTATTTTTTAACATGTATATTGTATAATGTATACAGTATATCCCTGGAAATATAGAGTTGATTTTAAATGTGGATTGGAGGTTTGTTGTTGATGAATATTTGCATAATACTCTAATTTTACATTATCTGTTAACAGACGGAAGTAGAGCTGTATTTTTTGTTATATAATCTTGAATATTATTTTTTGTTAAGGTTCATGATACTGAGTCTGAGTCTGATAAAACTCCAGTGAAAAAGTCGGCTAAAGCAGCTGCGGTAGAGCAAAAGGAGATTCCTCACAAGACACGGGAAAGAACAAATGCGCGAGCTTTCAGTCATCAACGAAATGCGGGAACTGAGAAACCGGTTTCCTCTGGCTGGAATGATCTTGACGGTGGGGCCGCCATTGAAGGGGAACATGTTCGTAAAATCAATATTTTCTCTAAAGAAACGGTAAATAATAACTGTTCTTTAATCATTTTTTAATGGAAAAAGGACGGCTGTTATTTTTTTAAATATTGTTTAGGAGTTTTTTGAGTTTCCACGTATAAGTAACTTAAACTATGAAGAACAAGACTCCTTTCTCTATCTACATTCTAGATACATGAAGGTATGACAACGCATTTAAGTTTTCTAAAAATCTTTTGTATTTTTATCAAAAACAGGCTTTCAGGGCGCTTATTGTCCTCGTTCCTATTAACAATCTTAACTTTAAACTCTGGAAGTCGCCATTCTTAATCTTTTTAAAATGTTCGCGGCTTTTCTTGGCTAATTATTGCATTTTCAAACTTAATAAATTTCGACAATTTGGACCATCCATAAACCTTCCCTGGGCCGATTACGTGAGTTTCTCAAAAATGTTGGGTTCGATCGGTTCAGCCGTTTCACGTTTACTGGAAACAAACAAACAAAAACAGAAGCAAAGTATTTATATGTATTTCTAATGTGCTTTGTCTAATGTTCTAGGGTGAACTGCACAGTGGACAAGAGCAGAGATATTCAAATCTTCTTGAGCTTGTTCAAGGAACAAATATTTTAGAGTTCAAATACAAGTCGAGGTTACGTAATTACAAAGTTTGTTAATGTTCTTGTAAACTGGTTTTCATAATATTTCTTCCACAGTTTGTAAATTGTGTTTGAGGAAAATAGTTAAAATTTAAAACGTATGCCCCCCCCCTTTTTTTCGAAAATCATCATTTTCCAAAAATATTAAAGATCTAGAGTCAGTGGCTCCCGCATTTTTAAAAAGACTCTTTATTTTTGCAAATTGTTAAAAAGAAGTTAAAATAATTTTGCTGGGTGCAGAGGAAAGACAGGAGTATCTACGGTTTGCTCGGGAGATAAGCAAAGATAGAAGTTCAAGATATAATTATATTGCTCCAGATCTGGATAAATATGCTTCAGAACACAGAGGGTTTAGGATATCTAGGGTCGCTGTATTTCCAAGGTAAACCTAACTTCATTTAAAAGCATTTTTCCATTAATAAATTTAGTTTTTTTGACCTCATAGAATGTAAACCATAATTTTTCTATAACTATTGAACCAGTATAAAATTAAAAGAATGGTAAAATTAAACTGAAAAAATGACCCGAAATTTTTATGTTAGTCTGACAGTAATTAAATTATTTTAAATATAAGTTTTTTTCATTTGCATGAAAAACAGTATTTGTCTGAAAAAGAAAAAAGATAGATAATGAATAGGGACTGGATAAAAATAGGATTAGAGGGGGTATACATTTGGTCAATCTGATATTTTACACAATTTTTTCTTTGTCCTACTTTCATTTTATCAATTCATATGTTTACCTAATTGTGAGAAATGTGGGTAACTTATGTGTATATTTTCGTATTTAAAAATATATTCTAACACTAAAATTTATATATATATAAAACCTTAATAAATCTAAACTGGAATTTACACTTGAAACATTCTTAGACTTTAAGAACGCTTTTGATTGCTGTGATTAAGACATATTTTTAAAAAACTAATTCATTATGGTTTCAAAAATGTGGCCTGCAACACCTGGTTTAAAAATTATCTTATTAACAGAACTCAATATATATGTATAAATGGATTTTTTTCAACAGAAAAAATATAACATGTGGTGTTCCTCAAGGAAGTGTTCTAGGGTCCCTGCTGTTTCTTCTTTATATAAACGATTTTCCCCGAGCAACATCTTTTTTTTACAGCCTCTTTGCAGATGATACTAGATTTTTTAAAGTCATCTCATATTGCAAGCCTAAACTTGATGCAAACACTGAAATAAAAAAACCAACAAAATGGTTTCAAGCAAATCGTTTGACACTGAACGTCTCCAAAACAAAGTATATAGTATATAGAAAAAAAATATGCACTTTGACCCCAGCATTTGTAATATATCAATAGTAAATTTGTTGGACTTAAATTTGATGAATTTTTAAACTGGGTTTTTCAAAATTGAACATATCTCGAATAAAATTGCTAGCTCAACGTTTGCGTTGTCCTAAATTAAAAAATATCTTACAATTAAACATTCGTCTATGAAAAATATGAATTAAATTGAATGTAAACCAGTTTTTAGCCACCGAAACCGAGTTCATAGTGTATTCCAGAATAAATTTGTGTACATTAAATAAATTCTTTTCTGGTCCGCCGTTAAATTTTGCGAACTGAAAATGGATGAACTGTAAATAATCTAACTGTAAATTTATTAACTTTAGTTTGACCACCTGTAAATTAATGAACTGTAAATTGATGAAGTGTAATTTGATGAACTGTAAATTGATGAACTGTAAATTGATGAACTGTAAATTGATGAACTGTAAGTTGATGAACTGTAATTTGATGAACTGTAAATTGATGAACTTTAAATTGATGAACTGTAAATTGATGAACTGTTAATTGATGAACTGTAATTTGATGAACTGTAAATTGATGAACTGTTAATTGATGAACTGTTAATTGATGAACTGTTAATTGATGAACTGTTAATTGATGAACTGTAAATTGACGAACTGTAATTTGATTAAATGTAAGTTGACTAACGTTTGTTTACAAAATATATTCTTGTTCTGTGACTGTAAGTGTTCAGGGAGTGGACTAAGTTTAAAGACATAAGATTAAGCTGTGCTAGAAAGGAGCAGGGTGGAATGAATCACTACGCCATGAAACCAGCAGAGACCTTGCTAGAGCTCGGTACTATTCCAAAAGCAACAGTTCCTAAACCTAAGTATAGTTTTTTTTTTATATTTATTTCTTAAATAAATATTTTTTATATCAATTTATTTATGAATCTCTTTAAAAGTTGTAAAGTTAAGCATATTGCTTTAAGAATTCGGAGTTGGGTTTTGTCTTAATGGGTCCGGATTCAGATTAAATGGGAAAATATCAAACAAAAACTGTCAGAAATTTGCTTTTAAAACTTAAATCTGAACTGATAAATAAAGATAAATTAATAAATTTCTTCATTTCTGAATGGTTCATCCAGTTTTAGCATAAAAATCCGCATATAAATAAGAAGAAAAATAATTTGAAAATTTTTCTTTTGTTCTAGAAGTTAGTAAGTTTTAAAGAAATGTTCATGACCTGGATCTTATCCATTTTTTGGGGGGTGGATCCAGGATACGGATTCGTATCAAAATGAAATAAATCCCTAGCACTGATACACAGTACATGTTTTATTTTTAGAAATGAGATCCAGATCCCAAAATCCTACCAAAGGATCGTGAACAAGTATCCTACAGATCCTGCAATTATACCGGGATCTCAGGCAACCAACAGCTCTATTTTTAAACATACCACGGGGCTGGCATAGGTTTAAACAAAACTACGAAAAACTGCGCAATGTTAATATGCATGTCTTCCAGATGAGGATTGCTGCGTCATAATCATAAAATCATAATTTCAACTAGTGCTGGTAAATGGGGGGAGTAACAATGAATTTTATTTTTTTTAACCTGGGCAACGCCGGGTCTACCATCAAGTAGAATATATTTTCTTTAAAAATCCTTATATTGAAAACTTGATTTCCTACTAAATAAGGGGGCGTTCATGGAAACTGAGAAATTTAAGGGATGTCAGAATGAATTTGAATTATTAAATAATTTGTTTGGGTTTTATTGACTGTTATATCCTTTCATGAGTTGTTGGGTCCTTAGGGATTTAATCGCGGAGACGCAAGAAAGTTCCGTAAGACAGGTCAGGAACCGGTTTTACCTCCTGGTCTCCGGTACACAAAGGGGAAATATCTTCATAAAACCTGCATCCTTCAGGTAGGATTAATCCATGGAACAGAATTATAAGAGGGGATAGATAGTGAGTACATTTTTTAAGTGTTGAATGGGACCGAATATTCAAGGGAGATTCAATTTTTACAGTCAGAGAGTGGTGAATGTATGGGACAGTTTGCAAGGAGACATTTAAAACTATAAATCCCAAGTTGTTTAAAAAAAAACAATTACAATCGATATGCTGGAGACATTGTTTGAATAAAAATAGTGTTAAAAATAGTTAATCAGTAAATCTCTAGACTTTACGCAGATATTCTCAACTGCGGTCTAGAGATTATTTTACCATTTACTGAAACAAAAAAGTAACTCGCCATTTATAGAGTGGAATGTCAGTGTGTATTGAAACCCCCAGAGGAAGGGTGTCAGCAGAGCTTTCTAAGCCTGTTGAGTTGAAAACCTGACTAAACCTAGACAAGATATAGGACTATGAATGAAAGAAGAGGAATACAGAAACTCAAAAAAATCAGGGATAAATTACACGCTAATACCGGATTAAGGGGTAACAGAGCCTTCAATAGACTTTAAATCAAATACCACAAAATTGTTTTTCACCCTCCCCTCAATGGAAACTGGATTACTCATGGCAGACCTCTGACAATGGTAAGGGAAAGACAGTGTTTTATAGCGATGGGACCGCATGCTTAGCTGGTTAATTTCCTTTAATAAATCTTTCAACGGGGGAATACGTGTTAACAGTGAGGACTATGTTATATCTCATACCTGTTACCCTTACACCCCCATCCTCATCCTTCTCATCCAAACCACCTAATCTTTCTCCTACCTGCTCCACAAGTTGATGTCACAACAACTATTTGTAGAGGCCTCAAAACGTAGAAACAAGAAGAAAAAAGAATATTGAACAGGAAAAATTGGAAGGGAAATCTCTGATCATAAGCTCTACACTATCTATTTATTCTGTTAGCGAATGGCGACAAACATTAGAGATGGGACTAGGAGACATTCCCCCTTCAGTCTGACAGAAAATACATTAGAAATATGTGTTTGTTTGGAACTGAATCAACAAGTTGAATTCAGTTCCTGACACATCTAATGTGTGTACTGTAGAAATGGGAAAGGAGGCACCTGAACTTGTTTCTTAAGTTTACAGCATGGCAAAATTGGAAGGTTTTTTTAAAAAAATCTTTTTTTTTCAAAATTAGCCAAAATGTGATTCAAAGATGTATGAGCAAGAAGAAAATGAAGAACAAATAATATAGAAAAGTCAAACATTACATCTGATTAACAATGCTATCATTTGAAGTATTGTCTGATCAAGAAAAAATATTAAGGAATTTTACAAGCAAGAAAAACGACGATAACAAACCAAAGTGTCCAAGGTAGCATTGTAAATCGGGCATTTAATCAAATTAAAATTAAAGATCACTCAAGAAATAATCACTTCAAGAAATGTGCTTTATTTATTGATTTTAATACGAAATTTCAATTGAACTTTTTAAGACAAAATCAAAATCAATTTAACATTTATCAACAATCAAATATTAAGATTAAATATAAATATATCTTGCTCCATACAGCACTCTCAGTCAGAGATTGGAACTTTTGTGATATTGTAAATCTTGAACCTTTGATCTTGATATCCAATGTGGGCACTTTTAAATCTGAGGATTAATGCGTGATCCCTCAATTAAAGTAATTCCTGCTAGGTTTGACCATAGCTGGATATTAAAGAAAGGAATTAAATTAATCTGTAGATCTGCATAATTTGTAGATCAATGCTTAAGTAGATCAATGCTTAATCCCGAGGTTCACAACATTAAAGTTCAAACTTCCGAGGTAGGAATTTTGTGTGGAGTATCATTAATCTTGAACTTCCTTCTTCTTGATATCCAATGTGGACACTTTTAATTTGAGGATAAATGCTTGATCCCTTTATTTCAGTTAGCCCTGCTGGTTACGAATATCACGGGATATCATAGAGGAATTAAATTAATCCGCTTGTCTGATAAAGATGGAGAATTTGATATCAATGGTTGATCTTGAGATTTCAACACATAAGTTCTAATTTCTGTTTATATGATCCTTATCTTGTCTAGTCTTATCTCATTATTTTATGAGCTTTCTTTTGAAAATTGATTTGCAACAATAAGCAACCTAAATATTGCTTTTAACGATATATTTTGTTTTTCTCTAGCTGATAATTGATAATATCCCTCTGCACTGTCCTCATTGATCAGATTTGAGTTAAATGGGTTCTGTTGTGAATTGTAGATGGCACACTCTCAAGTGAGTTTGACAATTTAATAAAATGTTTTTTGTGCAGGATCCTAATGCGCGTAAGTTAGCCGGGCACTGTTTACCAGACGTAATTATTTCGGCATCTGCGCTCAAATGCATCATGGACAACTTCTTCCCAACCCTTGACAGGTGCAGAATGTTTAACAAGAAACAATTTTTTCGTTGAAATCTAATATTGTCTCAATATAGTCCTAATCAGAAAGACTCTGAATTAATTTACAATTAATCAGACGACTTTACAATCTAATATTACAAATATGATTTATGAAACGATATTTACAAAATAGCCCCAGTCCATCCATTTCCAAAATTTGGTCTGCCTTTTTTTTGAGCATTTAAAATTGCCAGAGATATATGTAAATTCGCCTGATTCACTGTCAATAAATTCAAAGTCTTTCCGATTATGACTTTTGACTGTTGAGTGAAGATAAACTTCCCAAATTTCATATTTTTTTTTAGAAATTGGGAAATCCCTGTCGAGATTCAAACATTCGACCAAGTTGTAGATGGGAAGATAAAGAATAGGAAAACCGTTGTTTATATAGGTAAATCTATAAGCTCTTCGCTCATATATGGATATATGTAAATATATTTATACATGTATTTTTTTTGAGGAAACCCATTGGTGTCCTGGGGGTAACAGGCTAAAAAAAATCGGATTTTTTTTTAAATTTAGATTTTTAAAGTTTGAATTGTTTGTTTAATTTCACTGGCAACGCCGGGAACATCAGCTAGTAGAATATATTCTGATGTATTATAGTTTCAGAAAATTTTTAACTTTTCGTTTTTTGCATTAATCTGTTTCGCGAAAAAAGCGAGAAATTTGTTTTCCTCCGAACGGAGTGCGAAAAATTTTCGCAATTTTCGCGAAACCATTTCCCCATTTCGCTGGAAACCCTACCAAAGACCAGATTAAATAAAAAGTGAGTTGTTATTCGTTAAATCTGGTTCCTGGAAAACGCGATCTGGTAGTTATTCTTTTTATTAGTTTCCTTTGTACTGTCAGGGTTTTTGTTGCAGTTCTCAAGGCGTACACCAGAATTTGTGGTGGGAGGAGGGGGGGGGGGGCTTTATAGCACCAACCCTACCTGTATTCGCCTTTGCTGCAGCTGAAACGATGTTGTCACTACCGATAATTTTCTAGTTCGTCCTTACTCAAAATAATTAGTTGCTCTCAAAAAACCGTGACCAGAGTTCGATTATAGAAAAGATGGAAAAAATAAATCTCACTCATCGTTCTTCCGATTTAGGATGAAATGGTACCGCTATCAATGGTACTACTATCAATGGTACCGCTATCAATGGTACTGCTATCAATGGTACTGCTATCAATGGTACCGCTATCAATGGTACCGCTATCAATGGTTATAATTGTAAATTGTTTAAAACAGGGAAACCGTTTCTGGCCAAGCAAGTTACTGCTGTGGATAAGAATAAGATTGCACTCAAGAATTCAATCAAGACAATGATGCTTCATGATTGGAAGGAAGGTGAAATATTCTCTTTTAAACATTTTATTTCTTTCTTAACATTTGTTTAAAACATTTTACTTTATTTTTCTTCAGAGAGCTGAAGGGGGGGGGGTTGGCGCCCCTCCCCCTCTTATGCATTTCACCCAAAGTACTTGTATTTTAAAACTTTCACCATAACAAAATTCGATTTTCAAAAAAGTAACAATTTAATAATAATCGGAAAAAAAAATAAATACCAAGGTTTTGATGCAATTGAATTCTGGGAATGTATGGGGGAGGGGGGCTGAATGGTCTTGTTATGGTTAATAAAGGGTAAATTGTAAGATTTATAAGCTCAAAGTCAGCTTCTAAGCATATTGCAGAATACTTCAGTAAACAAGTTTTTAAAAAAAATTGTTATTATTTGCAAAATCTGAAGAAGAAAAAATATTACATCAGATCGTAAAAATAAATGTTTGTTTAAGGAAAGCATGTCACTGACATAGAGAAGATTGTTCCAGTTCATGACGTAGGCGATATCTTCGGAGATGCCAGTAGGATAGACGATTTAGAGACTTTTGGTGAAACTATGGCAATGATTGGTTCGGTTAGGGATACTAACATCGAGATGGATGGAAAACTCCGAGAGGGTTTGATTGAGGAAACTAACATGGAGACGGATGAAAAACTCCGAGAGGGTTCGGATTCGGAAGATATTGGAGATTTAATTATTCAGACGGACGGAGGGTATCCTGAGAGCTTGGGTTCCCTGAGCGGGACTGACGAGTTCAACAGCCGGGAGGTTGAGGAGACGGATGACGTAATTGAACTTGATGAGGAGCTGGAGAACCTTCTGAATGAGGATACAGAGAACCCCGAGAACATCAAGGATATTTTTCAATTTATCCAAGGATTTAATAACGGGTATCTGGACGCTTCTCTGGGTCAGCTGGACGGAGGGTTGAGTAGTGAAAGTGAGAAGGAGGAGGATCTGATAATTGATCTGAACCTGTCCTCATCAACCCAGGAACCTGTTGCTGAGAGGAGTACAAGGTTTAAGGGACTTAAGAGAGTTCCAGTCTTCAATGGTCAAGCGAATTTGCCTGGTAAATTTTATAATTGATTAATTAAAGGGACTGTAAACGTAATTTTAAGTGACCCTCCATGCAAAGATTATAAATTACAACTTTAGCCTTAAAAGCTTAATTTAGTGAGTAAGTAAGTAAGCAAGTAAGCAAGTAAGCAAGTAAGACAAGTAAGTCAAGTAAGTCAAGTAAGTCAAGTAAGTCTTATCAAATATGATTTTGATAAAAATGTTTATAATTTTTAATTGTGGTTTCTCTTCAAAAATGACTTGTGCATTTCAACTTTGGAAAATATAAAGTAAATATCAGTATTAAAAACTTTCTAAGCTATAAAATGGCATTTTCAAATTATCGGTCAGATAGACGTTTCATGGGTACTTTTGTGAATCTGGTATTCCCATCTTTGCATGGGAAGTCACTTAAAATTACGCTTACAGTCCCTTTAATCAATGATAAATATATTATTATATCTAATTATAGTTTAGATTATAAAAGTTTACCCTATAAAATACTAATTTTTAGAAAAGGTAAAATCTAGTTTAAGCTCCGTAAGTTCTACCGCCTCGACAACCCCGGGTTCAAAGGTACGATTTTAATAGGGGGGGGGATTTTCTTATATTACTGACTAATCTGAGCCCGCGATTTAAAAACTTCGGTTCGAGCCGTAATTTCTTAAACCCGACTCCCAATCTTCGACCCAACTCTAACGACAGCTTGTGTCACGTGATTGACAGCTGCAAGATCTTCGGCTCGACTTAAGGAGTAAGGCCTAATGAAAATAAAACCGACCTTGGTTGGTTTTGGTTGAGTATAAGCCTCAATGACCTATGTTGAATATTGTTCTTATAAAAACCCGGTATGCGTCAATCCTTACCATGAAAATCCGCCATATAGAATATTAAAGCGGTTTTTTAAACTCAACTCTGTAGAAAATAAGATGCGGCTTGAATCCGAAAGCTCAAGCCGTAAATAAGGCCCAACGACAGCTTAGACCCGAGCCGTATTTGCTTGAATTTTTTAAATCGCCGGCTCTGCTAAAATGAAATTGATGCACAGTGTATGTATATCCACACCTCCCCCATCCCACATACAATTTAATATTAATAATAGTTCATAACCTCTGAAAGTATTTAATTGTTGGAAATATTAAAATCAATTTAGGAAAGAATAATTATTTTTTCCTTTGCGGCCTGTCTGCATATGGTTGTAAATATATATATTGAGATGTTATTGGTTACTAGCCATTTTTTTCTAAAGAAAGGGGGGAGGTAAGTTCTTTGTCTAAAAGTATTATTCAGGCTTAAATCTGTAATAGCGGAAAGTCCTATTTTGAAAAATTGTCTGAGTACACATTTTCTTGAACAATCATCCAAAAGAAAATTCCGCGCGTAGTAAAAAATTTTGAGATTTTTTATCGCTGAAGATTTGAGCTATTTTGGAACTTGAGGGTTTTCTTTTAGGATTAAAGGCATTTTTTGGGAAACTTATGTAAAATGTTGAATGAATAGGCGAAACATATTTGCCAAATGTTAATTAAGAAGGTTTATATTTAGTTGAAGCAAATATTAATTAAGTATGTTTATATTTAGTTGAAGCAAATGTTAATTTAGAATGTTTATATTTAGTTGAAGCAAATGTTAATTAAGTATGTTTATATTTAGTTGAAGCAAATGTTAATTTAGAATGTTTATATTTAGGTGAAGCAAATGTTAATTAAGAATGTTAATGTTTAGGTGAAGCAAATGTTAATTAAGAATGTTTATATTTAGGTGAAGCAAATGTTAATTAAGAATGTTAATGTTTAGGTGAAGCAAATGTTAATTAAGAATGTTAATATTTAGGTGAAGCAAATGTTAATTAAGAATGTTAATATTTAGGTGAAGCAAATGTTAATTTAGAATGTTTATATTTAGGTGAAGCAAATGTTAATTAAGAATGTTTATATTTAGGTGAAGCAAATGTTAATTAAGAATGTATATATTTAGGTGAAGAAAATGTTAATTAAGAATGTTTATATTTATGTGAAGCACATATTAATTAAGAATGTTTATATTTAGTTGAAACAAAACGAAGATTCTTCATCTAGTTCAGAAGAAGAGATGGCCAATGAGGATTTATTGTCTAAAAAACTAAGTATTCAAGGTGAGAGATATTTTAAGGCAGTTAAAAGCAGTGCTTGTATCCAGATCTACTGGATTTGCATGCAGATTGCAAACTATCAACCAATGTAGCAAATTTAGTTTTTACTTACTTACTTCTTACTCGGTCAATCTCGACTAAAGGAAAAATAAGGAAAAAACAAAGACAATTCAGAATAGTTTATAATACATTCCGAAGGATTGTAGATGTGTGATTTTCGAATATGTGTGGGTGGGGGAGGGGGGTAATTAAAATTCGGATATAACTGGAAAATTATCCATCCTACCTAATACTTTTTACACAAAAGTTCATATCTTCTTTCCAAAAATAAAACCCTTAACCAAATTGTCGCTTCCTGCAAACATGCGTAATATCTAGGGGAGAAGAAGAAGGGATGGGGAAAAGTTACTTCAGAATAATTATATACCCCGGATATTTTACAGGGAATGCTAAAGAGGATGAGAGTTCCACCAGCTCAGAAGAAGAAATTGACGAGGATTTGATTGAGCGAAAAATGAGACTTATCCACGGTGACAATGAGTCCCCAAATCCACTATCAGCGTCAAAATCTGCCAAATCGTCAGGAGATGACAGCTCCAGCAGTTCAGAGGAGGATCTGGACGCAGATCTTGTAGAAAAGAAACTCCAACTTCTCCAGGGTAAAATAGAACCTGATGTATCGCAGACCAACCCTAAATCCAACAATGAGGATGAGGAACCTAGCTCAATGAAAAACCTAGAAAAGTATAAGCTTTTGAAAGGTGGACCATCTATCCCTAGACTGTCTCCGGATCTTGTACACCAGAAGCTAAACCAAACACAGAATAAAGGAAAGCTTGAAGCTGGAAAGGATACGCCTGAAGTCTTGAAATCTGAGTCTAGTGACTCTGAAGTTGAAGGAGAAGATCTGATGTTGCAGAAAATGGCCGCTTTACAGAAAGTAAATCTAAGTTCTCAGGTCAGATATTTAATGGAGGTAGTGCATAGTGTTGATCCGGGTCGAAATAGTTCAGTTTTATTTCAACGTAATAGTGGCAAAAAAAACTATTTATTTTGGTAGAAAAAAAACTATTTATTTTGGTAGAAAAAAAATTATTTTGGTAGAAAAAAAAACTATTTATTTTGGTAGAAAAAAAGACACATCTTTAATCGTTTTGAGTTTTGGTAGAAAAAAAAATTGGTAGAAAAAAAAACTATTTATTTTGGTAGAAAAAAAACTATTTATTTTGGTAGAAAAAAAAACTATTTATTTTGGTAGAAAAAAAAACTATTTATTTTAGTAGCAAAAAACCATTTATTTTGGTAGAAAAAAAACTATTTCTTTTGGTAGAAAAAAAAACTATTTAATTTTGGTAGAAAAAAAGACACATCTTTAATCGTTTTGAGTTTCAGCAAAAAATTAGCAAAATATACGTAGCAATGTATGTAGCATTGTATTTAGCAATTTACGTAGCAATGATTTAGCATTAAAGCGAGGTTGTAATTTTAACTTTAATACCGGATTATCCACAAAGGATTTGATTTTAGAGACGACTGCATTCACGATTCTCGGTAACTCGGTGTTTTCTTAGCGGAATTAAAATCAAGCCATTGTAAGACTATTCTTCAAAGCAAAAGGCTTAATTCTACATTGGAATCATCATATATCTATAGAGTTCTAGTCTCATCCCTATCCTGTTATATTGTTCCGTCCATTTTCGTTTTATTGTTCTAAATAATTCAAAAAGCATATTCGTCAGGAGTTGTTTGGAAGTGGGAGTGAGGGAAGCGATAAAGAAGAGGAAGTAGAGGAGGAAGATCAAGAGGATATTGAATATGTTTCTTCCAAGAAAAAAGTGGGTAAATTTTAATAAATATCTTGTTAATGTTTGAAAGAAGTGACCTTTTACTTAAAGAGTGCCATTAAGGATTCACTAAAAATGTTGTCTGCGACACAATGACAAAAATCTGGAATTAGGCAAATTATGGCCTTTTTCTTATTTCAAAAATCCGCCAAAAAAGGTTACTTTCTTGAATGGTAGTTTTTAAGCTTGTAAAATGATCATCAATGCTTCGAAAACGGTTCAAGAGGTTTCATTCATTGTGAATCATTTCTGGAACTATTTTGAATAAAGGGAGGGTAATTATTTTTAGAATTAGGGGAAGAGAGTGGAGAAATGTTCAATATTTGAAAAATCGAGGAAAAAATAGGTTTTATTTCGCTGAAAAAAGCATATTTGATAATATCACTGATTGATCTGAGAAATTGGATTGTGGTGAAATAAATTGAAGTATCATAATGATAGATAATTTATAGAAAAGCATGTTTAGAAATCATGGTTGGAAATGGTGGGGGAAGGCTTATGTGAGCTTAGCCTCCCCCCCCCCTCTCTCTTCTCCTTGGAGACTTAACAATTACTACTTTACAGTGAAGATAAGGAAATTTCACTTTACCAAGGGTTCCCAAGATCAATTTTGCTTACAAAACAGAGCGCAGCGAGGGATGTTTTGTCGGCAAAATTGGTCGAGGTAACCCGTGGTAGTTAAAATTCCCTTAACTTTCCTGTACAGTAGTTTTTAAAGATTTCAGGAAAAAGCAGTTGTACACAATTTTAGAGATGAAAATGCGCAAATTTGTTTATGAAAACTTCGCAGAGCAGGTCGTTATTTTACTTAACCTATCGTCCCTCTGTTGGGATAATCATGGGTCGGTAACGTTGGTCTAAGGGCGGTAAAAACCATTATTCCGGAAAGTATTTAGGATACAATAATTCAATCCCAACGAGGGCTGAGCCTGAGTGAGCCCCCCCCCCTGGAATGTGAAAGGTTAATATATAAATGATATAAGTTTAAAGATGAATGTGTTCAGGTTCGTCCAATCTCTAGTAGTGGATCGGAGGAGGAATCAGTCATCACTTCCTCCGGAGAAGAAATCCTGAAGAAGAAACTGGAATCTCTAGGAAGGGGGATGGCTACAGTCTCAAGGTAGTTTTTAACTGTTCTATAAATAACTTTCGTTTTGATAGTTAATATTAAACTGCTTATATAATATCTGAAATACGAAATGCCGGTACATGTCAAGCATTAATATCAGATTGACGTAAAACTAGAACCAATTGTTATCATATTTATGAAAAGGTTTTTTTTTGCCAATTTATTCCTTTTTTTTAGCCAAACAAAAATAACAAAAAAAATTGTTAATCTTGAACCAGATTTTATACTCAACCTTGTCAAGTCATTCTAAACCTGGATCATATCAGTTCTATCTGCTAATAATCTTGAACCAGTTTTTTAATAAACATTATCAAAACAATGTAAACCTGGATCATATTTCTCCTATCCTATTTTTGATTCCTCCTTGATCAATTTGAAAAATGAATGCAACTCCCTGTTTACTCGCTTCACTAATTAACTTTTCTATTTCAGAGTGAAGAGAAAGATAGTTGCTGAAGAGAGATTAAAGAAACTGGTTGATAAAGAAGCAGAGAAAATAGATCTTCAAAATAAAGTACAGGATATTTTTTTTTTGCTTTTTTACTTTCCCTTCCTTAAAAATAATTGTTTTCCACTGAAGAAGAATGGACACAAAGATTCTAAAATCGAATTTCCCCCCCCCCCCCCCACATATCTAATATTTAAAAATGTGTACTTTTAGAACCGGGAGAGACGAGCCTCTAAGAGAAAGATGGCAACCGACCTAGAGAAAGAAACAAAGAAGAAAGTACCTGAAATTCTTAAAACTACAGACATCAAGATCACTCCAGTAGAAACAGAGAAACCAAATAAAGTTGAAAAGCTCAAGAATGTTCTAAAACTTGAATCACCCATGGAGAAGACGACTTTCAAGCGTCCTGTCAGAAAAGCTAAGCCAGATAAATCAACCCTGCCGGTTGAGGATTCTATATCCAACCCATCCAGTCCCAATAAAATTGGTTCAGCGCCTATTTCGACTATTCCTACTCCAACTAGTCCTATTCCATATAGTCCTACTCCAACTAGTCCTTCTCCTTATAGTCCTGTTCAAACCAGTTCAGGTCCATATAGTCCTCCTCTTCCTACTCTTGGTCCTCCTATTCTAGCTTCATCCCATCTTCTAGAACCTTCCACAGTTTCTTCAGCTAAGAGCAAGCAGAAGAAGACTGAAAACATGTGGAAGGTATTCAAATTCAATATTAAAAAAGTTTTTTAGGGGGGGGGGGATATTGCTGAACGCTTAAATAGACCTTACAGAAGTATTTAATTCAAGATTTGTTAAGAAAGAATAAAATGGTATTCCTGAGTTTCTGTCTGTAATCTGTAATTGGACAAATCTTATCCATTTCTCACTCGTCTTCCTCGGTTATAATTTTACAACAAAAACAACAAAGTTTGTCAACAAAGCGTGTCTTGTACAAGGTTATAAAGTGCACCGTTGTTAATTTTGTATTACACTCAAGGTTGTATATAAAGTTAGATACTCTGGATGCGCTCCATGTAGGTAAATGTCGTCTTCATTTGCAATACATCCTCATGTGACGTCACTGATTCTTAACTAACAATCATCACATTTAACAATATTGATTGTGCTAACAAGTTTGAAGCTAAAAAATGCAATTCTATTCAAGTTATTAATATGTGAGTTCGTCTATATTTAGTGAGCTGCAAAATTTATTATTCTTTAAGATAAGCAGTGAATTCATATGAGTGTCTATTGCTGTAAAGTCGTATTTACCCACATTGGAGCGCATCCAGGGTATCAAACCTTATTTTACAATTCCTTGATGACACTCTTCAAATGAAGTGTAACTTAAATTGTGTAACCAAATTCAGGTTGCAGAAGCAGATGTAGTTACTCCTGTAGTGAATGAAAAGAATGATAACTCCTTCCAAGATATGCTGGAGAAGATGAAGAACGTGCAGAAGAAGAGAAAGGAAATCGAAGATAAAGAGAAGCCATCTTCCACTAATAAACAAAAATTTAATTCTGGGAAGTCAGGATTTGATTCATCTCATGGAGTTGGTTCTACAGCTGGATTTCTCGATAATCTAATGAGGTATTATGACAATATTCTTGGGGGAGGGGGCCGGTATCGAATGATCTGGGGAAAGATCTCATGCACTCGACACATTATAAAGAACCGTTATGGTAAATCTAAGCTCAAATACCAAAATCTTTAAAAATTTGACAAAAATCGTTGAAACTTTGGAAAATAATTAGAAAAATTTTTACATTTTAAAAAAAATAGTGACGTTAAAAAAATTTAAAGGATCACAAAAAATCTTGTTTAATATAGGGAATTGTACACTGTATTGTACAAGACTGTCAAGGCTGGTCGCTATTTCCAACAAAACCAGAAAAGCCCATGTTACTTTTTGTTATTGAAGCTAAAGATATGCAGTCCTTGAAAACTGTATATTATACATGTGTAATCTTATCATAATTTATGATAAAATACTTTATTTGTACATTTTTCCGACCTTTTTTGCCATTTTTAGAAAATCTCTGCTCTGTAATACTGTAACCATTTAAGTGAGCGGTCACATTATACAATGAACAGGTTTAAGAAATTGGGCTTTGAACATGATTTGTAGAACTTCATACTTTTACGCTTAGGAATAAGCAAGAAAAAAAGACCGGGAATATTCTGCCCGTCTTAAGTTATTCCTCGGCAAAAAAAACTTGTTCACTTCTGTTTGTTCAGTGGTCAGAGTAAACTGTTGATAAAGGAGATGGAGGAGAGAAGAGAGAATCTCAAGATGGAATATAACGGAGAGATGCTAAACAATATATTGCCAGGCAAAACAATCAGATTATTTTAAATCTTCAAGAGCAGCATACAATGTCGAACATAAAACTCGAACGCCGCAGATGACGTCGACTGTTACATGAATAGAAACAAGTGTAAATCATGGAAAAATTCATTTTGTCCTGAAATTGAATAACGCCAAAAATGATTGACCCTAAAGTATTTTTTATACATTTTTCTCCGCAGAAATTCATTTATCTTAAATTATAATTGAAAACACAAAAACCTTGTTTTTCTTCAAAATGTTAAATGAAAAAGGGGAAAAATAAATTTAATGCAGTGGTCAGGATCCGCAACATTTTAGGCTCATGGATCCGGATCCCCAAAAATATGCGGAAGGGGCAAAATATCAACCAAAAACTTCAAATAAAAATCGGTGCTCTTTAAACCCAACTCAGAACTGTTGAAAAAAAGAGATTGTAAAATATTTCCGCAAATCTGAAGTTTTAAAATCTAAAAAAAAATAATAATTTTAAAATTCTTATTCTGTTTTAAAAAATCAGTAAATTTAAAAGAAATGTTTATGAGCTGGATCCGGATTCATTTTTTATCAATGCGAAACCAGGATCCGAATCCAAATGAAATGGATCCTAAGCACTGTTTTTAACGAAGTGTTGAATGCACCTAAGATCTATATGTGTATTGGTGCAGGGTTGGGAAGGATTGAAGAGTATCTACCTCCTCCCCCAGGAGAGAATGTCTCCTACAGGGTCTGGAATCTATGGTGTAAAGAGAATCCTGCTTCAAATCTGAGAATGATTGTCAGATCAAAGGTAAGAATTCATTTTTATTTTTGTGAAGAGGAGGAGGGGTAGGTGGAGGTGGAGGGGATAATCATTTTGTACATCCCCTAATTGAGGTGCTTCAGATATCTGTATTTGACTATTTCAAACATCCTAAAAACTCTTCCTGGACCAAATGAAAGTATGGGGGAAAATAAAAGAAAGTGGAAAAGGTCTCATCTTTAACTTTTCTCCTTACGCTTCAGGGCGGGGAGGTAGCCAAGTTAGATCTTGAGCATAATATACAAAGTTACTCACAACGGATGAGACTTTTTTATGAAGACCTAAATCTCTTCATCCTGACGATCTAAAGATTCAATTTTAATTTTGTCTCTTTAGTTTTTTGTTAAATTGAATAATTTGACGTAGGATGTAAAAATTTTCAAGATATAAGCAACCATCGTCTCTGAAGTCTCATCGTTTGTGGGTAATCCTGTTTAAAACCAGGTTGCTGGTTTCAGTCCCGAGTTTGGTTGCATAGTTCCCAGTGTTAAACTTGAATATCAGGTAGAAATATGTTTATTTATAGAACTGCCTTGTCTTAGTATTTAGGATAAAACATGGTAAGTTATCAACAACATAAACTGAATTATCAATGGTTCAAACAATAATTTGAACATTTTTGTTTGCTTGGGTGATTAAATATCCGTAAACCTAATTTTCAAAAAAAAATTAACGAAGTGAGGAATTAAATGTCTTGAATTTAAACCGCAAACATAAAAGAATGAGTGAGAATCTGAATAAGTTGGTTGGATAGATAGATTTTTGAATTAAAATCATGCAAAGATATTGAAACTGAAACCCCTTCTCTTTATACGGATATGAAGAAACTAAAATTCTTTGATTCTCAATTTCAAATTGACAAATTATACTGAGTTCTTTATTTTAATCAAATCGGGTTGTTGATTGATTGGTTTGGTGTTACATTAGTTTCTTGGTTCATATTAGTCTGTGGAATCATTAGTTTCTTTATTAATTGGTTTTTTTTTTATTTCAAAGGTTTGGTGTTACATTAGTTTCTTGATTCATATTGGTCTCCGGAATCATTAGTATCTTTATTAATTGTTTTTTTTTTATTTCAAAGGTTTGGTGTTACATTAGTTTCTTGATTCATATTGGACATTGGTCTCTGGAATCATAAGTTTCTTTATTAATTGTTTTTTATTTCAAAGGTTTGGTGTTAAATTTGTTTCTGGAATCATTGGTTTCTTGATTATTTTTTAAATTTTTTTATTTCATTGGGTTGGATCCGGTGTTCAATGTTCATTGAGCACTGGACCCATGCATTTTTCTCAATTGGAAAGTTATCAACTGTTAGATAAATGTATTGGAGCCGGTGCTCCTTTACACCATAGTCTTTACACCATAGTCTTTACACCATAGTCTTTACACCATAGTTATTACACCATAGTCTTTAAGGAGGCCAGTCCGCCCTCTCAAGGCTTTACAAAAGATTACAATTTTTTTGTATTATTTTTTAGGACGTTTTTAATATTTTTTTTTCGTAATTTAAAATTATTTAGAATTTTTAATATTTTTAATTTGTGTGACGAAAAACAACAACATGCGCATTGGAAATTCAGAGTTGAAGCATTTTTTTTAAGTGTCTTCGTTATATATAGATTTATTGGTTTGTTAATTCATTGATTTGTTAATTCATTGGTTTGTTAATTCATTGGTTTGTTAATTCATTGATTCATTGGTTTGTTAATTCATTGATTTGTTAATTCATTGGTTTGTTAATTCATTGGTTTGTTAATTCATTGGTTTGTTAAATCATTGGTTTGTTAACTCATTGATTTGTTGATTCATTGGTTTGTTAATTCATTGATTTCTTGATTCATTGGTTTCTTGATTCATTGGTTTGTTAATTCATTGGTTTGTTAATTCATTGGTTTGTTAATTCATTGGTTTGTTAACTCATTGATTTGTTGATTCATTGGTTTGTTAATTCATTGGTTTGTTAATTTATCGGTTTGTTAACTCATTGGTTTGTTAATTCATTGATTTGTTAATTCATTGGTTTGTTAAATCATTGGTTTGTTAATTCATTGATTTGTTGATTCATTGGTTTGTTAATTCACTGGTTTGTTAATTCATTGATTTGTTGATTCATTGGTTTGTTAATTCATTGGTTTGTTAATTTATCGGTTTGTTGATTCATTGTTTTGTTAATTCATTGGTTTGTTAATTCATTGGCTTGTTAACTCATTGATTTGTTGATTCATTGGTTTGTTAATTTATCGGTTTGTTAATTCATTGGTTTGTTAATTCATTGATTTGTTAATTCATTGGTTTGTTAAATCATTGGTTTGTTAAATCATTGGTTTGTTAACTCATTGATTTGTTGATTCATTGGTTTGTTAATTCATTGATTTCTTAATTCATTGGTTTCTTGATTCATTGGTTTGTTAAATCATTGGTTTGTTAATTCATTGGTTTGTTAATTCATTGGTTTGTTAATTCACTGTTTGGTTAATTCATTGGTTGGTTGATTCATTGGTTTGTTAATTCATTGGTTTGTTAATTCATTGGTTTGTTAATTCATTGGTTTTGTTAATTCATTGGTTTGTTAATTCATTGATTTGTGATTCATTGGTTTGTTAATTCATTGGTTTCTTAATTCATTGGTTTGTTGATTCATTGGTTTGTTAATTCATTGGTTTCTTAATTCATTGGTTTGTTGATTCATTGGTTTGTTAATTCATTGATTTGTTGATTCATTGGTTTGTTAATTCATTAATTTGTTGATTCATTGGTTTGTTAATTCATTAATTTGTTGATTCATTGATTTGTTGATTCTATAGTTTTTTGATTCACTGGTTTCTTTATTCATTGGTTTTTTGATTCATTGGTTGGTTGATTCATTGGTTTGTTGATACATTGGTCTTTTATTACATTTGTTTCTTAATTTATTTATTTGTTGATTCTATAGTTTTTTGATTCATTGGTTTCTTTATTTATTGGTTGGTTGATTCATTGGTTGGTTGATTCATTGGCTGGTAGATTCATTGGTTTGTTAATTCATTTGTTAGTTAATTATTGGCTTCTTGAGTTATTGTTTTATTAATTCATTGGTTTGTTAATTCATTGGTTGGTTAATTCATTGGCTGGTTGATTCATTGGTTTATTAATTCATTGGTTTGTTAATTCATTTGTTAGTTAATTCATTTTGTTATATGAATATATTTTAGTCCAAGCTTGGAGCTGAAGTGTGCAGTGTATCCCACTATGCACGAGAATGGATTGATAACATTATCAGACCTCAAGCAACTACAATCAGAACAAGGTTAAATAAGGGTTTTATCATTCCACCCAGATTTTTCCCCAACATGTAGAGGAGTTGTAGGACTGAACGACCATTTCTTGATTTAGGAGTTGAGGACTTTTCTCAATCTAAGACTAGAACACTAATTCTTCATCTAGAACTTCTGGACTTATTCTTGATTTAGAACTTTAGAACTTTTCTCAATCTAAGACTAGAACACTAATTCTCCATCTAGAACTTCTAGACTTATTCTTGATTTGAGAATTACAAGATTATTTATTTATATAGGACTTAACTTTATAATTATCTGGGACTAGGGTATTTTATCTTTACCTAGGGCTTGAGAAGACTATTTTTTTTAAAGACTTTTTGCAATTTTTGATTAAAACTATTTCTTCATATATGACTTGAAGACTAAAAACTGCTGGCTTATTATTTTTTTTAAATCAGATTTTTTTTAGAATCAATCCCGAAACTGGAGACGTACTAATGATTCAACCCCTCAGGTCAACAAAGATTATAGTGTGATTGATATTAATTTATTTGCATTTTACGGGTCTACTTTAATGGCCAAAGTTTTATTCCGCAATATAAATTTGAGGTGTTCTGTGGACTCTAAATTTACTTCAACAGTTTTCTTTGTTTAGTCAATCAAATATGTATTCCGACATGAACCTGAATACACCAAGTCAGTCATCTTCTGTTAACGTGAATGTTGCCAAATAAAATAAAAGAAAGTTTCTATAACAAACTATTTATAAAACATCTTAGATTTGTGGATTAGTGTTTTAAAGTTAATTTTGAATGTTTGAAAACGGTGATAAAAACATTGTTTCTTTTTTTAAATTTGTTGTTTTTGTTAAGTTTGAAGCAGCTGACTGAAGAGGGAAGGTTGGAGCAGGTTGGAGAGGATGGAAGGGTGGAAAAGTTTGACCCCGCCCTCCAGCTGGGAAACCTTCATAATATTGTGTCCGAGCTGCGGAGTCAACCTGCCGGAAACTATATTCTCTCTCATGATGCCAAATCTGGAGCTTTTTGCAGACTCCTAAAACCAGCTCAAGGTAGGAAACATTTTTCATTTTTTGTCAACTATTAAAAAATCTTATAGACAGGGAAAGGCGCACAATGCACAGCACCTACATTGCACAATGCACATGCTAGACCTAAGGAAATTCTTATGCACATTTCTATCATTTTTATAGATTTTAAATAAATGATTTTAAATGCTCATATATTATTTTTATTTTTATTTTTTTAGGTCGAAGGTTACTATTGCTTGTAGTTTTATTCAGTTTTAGTTTTCCTAGTTACCTTCCTTCTATTAAACTCCTATATTTTTCCAATTTTTGTTTGTTGGCAGTGACACTGTACAGAACTGTGGAGATAAGTGTTAGAAGATTTTTGAGGATCATGATCTTGAAACTGATAATTATTTTAATATCCTAGATGGAGAATACAGATTGGATCTGTATTGTATATGAAGGATTGAAGGGGGGGAATAATGATATTTATTATAATATCCTAGGAGGAGAATACAAGATAGGATCTGTATATGAAGGATTGAAGGGAGAGAATAATGATATTTATTTTAATATTCTAGGAGGAGAATACAAGATAGGATCTGTATATGAATGATTGAAGGGAGAGAATAATGATATTTATTTTAATATTCTAGGAGGAGAATACAAGATAGGATCTGTATATGAATGATTGAAGGGAGAGAATAATGATATTTATTTTAATATTCTAGGAGGAGAATACAAGATAGGATCTGTATATGAAGGATTAAAGGGGGAGGATACTGCTCCTGTATCTGGGGATCCTTGGATACCTGTAGACATTAATCTAGTCACACCCTGGCATTTAACACACAAGTAAGTCACGACGAATACGAATACGAATCCCATCTGCTAAATGTCAACGTAACTTTGAGTAACCTTATATCATCCAACCACTTTAAAGTTAATTTCTTTTTCAGAATTCAAAATGTTCCCTATGTATATACAGGGTAACCCACAAATAATAAGACTTGAAATTCTTAATTGTTTCGATCCAAGATTTAATTTGGTGATTTGCCTTAAAAAAGTGTTCAAAGGTTGAACGGACTAGTTTGACATCGAATGTAATGAGATGACAGCTGCAGGAATACTTGGATGTAAGAAGAATTATTAAATAAATTCCATGCCGTTGTTTATGAGATCTCATTGTTTATGGGTCCCCCTGTATATTCTGTTAGTCCTGTTGTTAACAATATTCTTTGTATTAGACGAGTGCCAGGAACCTTTGAACCCTGTGGCAAGAAACCAGAACCTAAACACGTTGGATACGGCAGAGGGAAAAGAAACAGGGGTAGGGGGCGGGGCTGGAGCTCAGACAGGGGCGGAGGAAATGATGATAGGAAGGGAGGCGGGGGTAGAGGAGGACGAGGCGGCGGCGGTGGAAGGGGAAGAGGAGGAAATCAGAAGAGAGGAAATAGGAATTGAGAACTTTTGAGTATCTACTTCCCAGTTTCTGTTTATTTACACATGAAATTATTTATGCAAATAATTTCAAATGGAACTTGTTGATTTTTTTTTGCCACTGTGATATTCTGAAATAAAGTAAAAAGAGAAGTGATGAATTTTAATGTATTAAAAAATGTAAATTAAAAATGATAAAGGTGTAAGCATATGATTACACTGTCGTACATGGCTCTCTCAAGGTTCCAACGCTAGTTAATTTTTATTAAAATAGGAAGAATTTATTTTTTACAAATCACGAACTGTAACATCAATTAGTTGTAACTTGTTAACATCAATGATCACAGTAGAGCAATTGGTAAGTAATGAGTACCATTACCTGTTATGTGATAATGTTGCCCTTAAACTGAGAATAGACTGAACTTGTGCTTCTGTTAGAACATGGAGTACAACTGCACAGACAAGAAAGAAAATTGACAAAATTTCTCATATTCGAGTTTTCAAGGGGGATGTTTAATATTGGTTACTAAATGCATGTTACTCAAAGCATATATGTTACCATTACAAAACAATTTGAGAAAAAAATACTTCTATGGGAAATAAGTTTAAACTAACTTCATGCTTTACACGAAACAAATACTAGTGGTATAATTTGAAAACAAAGAGTAGACTAAATAAATGCGAATTAGTAGCGACCAATTCTGCTAAATCTAAAATCTTAACTAAAGTAAGACTGATAAGCTTACGGCGCTTTTAAAAAAAAAGTGCAAACGTTTCTTTAAAAATTGTAAATAATCATGTACAAACACATTCTTTCTTATTATTATGTTCCACTCAGATATTAATTAAAAGATCTTGTATCTACTACAAGGGATACAGGGTGTCCCAAATTAGGAATTCATCCTTGATTTTCACAATTGGAAAATAGTATAAGTGTAAAGGCAGTTAGGCTTCGTTGGCTTTTTGTAAATAGCTGTACAATGTACAATGTACAATTGTGTACATTAATTAAACATTAGTACAGCACAGTAATCCTTAAAACTGAAAGTAAATACAGTACTGTACTTTGCATATGAATATGAATTACTTCACTGCACTATTTCGATTCAAATAGAATACTGTTGAGTGGAGAGTGAAGGCACTTTCACGGTTTTTTGGTCAAAACTTGTAAAATCACAGATACAGGAAATCCAGGAAGGATCAAAGATTAAACTTAATCTTGGTTTCAATATTAAATCCCCTTCTCTCTATATTGGTGGAGGACCGTTGACATAGCTGAGCTGAACCCAGGAAGAATGGTAGTTTAGGTTTTCACAGCAACGAGCCTGAAACAATGAATAGTAAAGTATTAAATGATATTAAATTTAAATTAAAAATTGGGCATGCCCGCTTCCCTTTAAAACCCTCATCTTATCAAGGAAAGATTAGAAAATATGTCTGACTCGGACAATTTCTCCATCATGTTTCTGAAACAGAACTGCAAGAGTCGCTTTATTAAGAAACCAAAATTGAAATTGATTAATTTCCAGAGAGAAAATGTTGGATATTTCGTGAATTATTGATGAGACAAAGATTGTGAATCGGTTACACCCTCTTTAAATGCAGGGTCTCATTAAATTACATCCACAGTCCTTCTAGTATATTTTTTTACTTTTTAATTTACTGGTTCTGTCCCTATCATTTTTGCATAGCCTTGATTTTAGGAGTATCCTCGAGTTCTTTACAACGAAAAGATAGTAAATGGCGGATATTTGTTAATTTACCTCTACATATAAGATTAATGTTCAAAATCCTTACAACAGTCTTTAAATACTGAAATTTGGTGCATTTAAAAAATTACTGAAAAACTGATTAAAACCTGTGAATAAACAGCTATAGGTAGAAGAGCAGCCACCAGGAAACAGGAATATAAACAGAACCGTCCTATTCTACCCCAGGTAGTCCTACCACCAGCCTCCGGTCCTACCCCAGGTCCGAGGCCAACCTTAGGTTCGGTGAAGGTATCCGAGTACCCACTGTCCTCTATCCTCTGAACCTCAGGATCCTTGATACTTGTCCTCTTCTTAATCCTCCGTCTTCGAGGCTTTACAGTAACCTTGTCCTCTCTGTCATCTTCACTGGAGGCATTTTTTGCCTTTCTTAGTAGAGCGTAGAGGTCAACAACCTCTTGTTTTATCTCCCGGAGGTTAGCAGTGTTCTCTTCTGTTTCTAGTTTATGAACCCAGAGGTTTAGATCGAATACATCTCGTTTTAGTTGGAACAGTAACTCACACTGCAAAATATTTTTAAGGTTATATAGTCTCTTAAAATTTTAATTTGTTCGATACAGGTCTACCCACAAAGGATGAGACTGTAAAGACAATCCCTAAAACTCAGAAAATACGACGACCTCTAAGTCAGTTTTCTGCCTTGAATATATTCTTTTATTGGCTTATTCAATAATTTGAAAAAGAGGAAAGAAGTTCACAGTTGCAGGGAATCATGAATATGAGGAAACAGAAATCAAACAGTCTAACGCTTTTAAAACATGCGGTATTCCCCCCCTTTTCTAGTAAATCTCCCCCCCCCTTCTCTTCCTAGCACTCAATTTAAGGTTGCGTGCTGTTGTGCATACCCCACGAAGGGGAGGAGGGGGGAGGGAGAGAAATATAAATAAGCTTGCAAACCCTTGCGAGAGGTGGAGGAGGGGTCGCAAAATATTAAAATTATGTCAAAACAATTTCACACTTTTGAATAGGTTGGTTTAAATTGAAAACACCTCAGGCAATTACATCCCTGCAGTTCAATAGACAATAAACTGAGATCTATCTAGTCCGCAATATATATATATTATGTATTCACCATAGGATGTCTTGATTACATCTTTTTAAAAATATATATATATTTCTAAACTAAATTTGGATTTAATTTCTATTTAGTTAGATAAATTTCATGAAAAGAAAAAAAAACAATTCTTTGTATTCTGATTTCTGAACCCCTCAGAAAATCTTAATCACCATTTTTCCTGGGGAATGTGGTATACTACGCCCTTTAAGCCCCCNCCCCCTGGCTAAAATCCTGTGTACGCGCCTGGAGCAGACCCTTTTTTAATTTCGCTATCAGAAAATTGGTTTTATTTATGAATAGCGTAGGGTAGGTAGTTGAAAGGTGGGAGAGGGGGGGGGAATGTAGGGGAAATAAGAGAGCCTTAGGGGGAATTGAAGGGGAAACGGAAGTTTTTAAGTGTTTGTTTATTTTGCAAAGATATAAATCTTAATGGAATTTTTATCAGTTCTTTCCATCTTCATGATTCATTCAAGATATTTGTTAAAAAATCAATATTTTTAGGTCAATACATTTAACTTTCTAGATATTTACTAAATTTTCAATAAATTAAACATTCTCGAAGTTTTTCTAAATTCGCAAAAATTTCTGCAATCAAATACTGTTTTTGTTCCGCGAAATTTTTTAAAACATTATTACAAAATTTCTCCAAAATTTGCTCTATAGCCAAATATTTTTTTTAGAAAAAACAAACCAAGAAATCGTTTGATTCGGTTCTTTCCGAATGTATGTTATAAACACTAATATAATACATTTTTGGAGGACAAGCCCTGTTGGAATTTATGTCAGAAGAACTAAACAGTTATATTTCATTGAACATCTAACTATACGATTGCGTGTTAGGTTAAAACATCTTTTCATAACTGTCATTTCTCTTTATAGTATAGGGGGGGGGGGTTTCAGCTACAAGGTGTCTACTGTCATTTCTCTTAATAGTAAGGCTGTATTTAATCGAGAGAAAACATGCCAGATTAAATTCAAAAGAAGAAAGTAGTTATTTAAGTATAGAGATGTATAAAAACTAATTTCCTTTAAAGAAATAGACGATTTTGATTGTGTCACCTCAAAAACTGTGTACAAAATTATCAAAGCATTATCAAAGCAGTAAAATATAATAATAATCTACATGTTTTATCTGCAGTGGATTTTTTTTTCCAAATAATTTTACCTTGTTAATTTTGTTGTTGTCGTGTTGAAAACTTTCTTCTGTTGTAACCCCGTCTCTTCTACTGCATTAGACAAACAAATTAAACTAGCTAAAACTTTTAATTCAGGTGTTTTACCCTTTCGGTAAAAATGCTGCATTAACCTAGAAATATTTCTCTTATAATTTTGAGCCCTTCTTGCTTCTATATATAAATTTAGCTTGTCTGTTTGTCTGTTTGTTTGTATCCAATAAACGTAAAGAAGACTGAACCGATCGGGCCCAAATTTTGTGTGGGACCTCACGTGACCCTAGGGAAGGTTTATGAATGATTAAAATTTTAAAAATTTGTATTTAAAAGTTTTTTTTGTTGTAAAATTTTGAAAATGCGCGTAAATGTTTTATACTGTACAGATAAAGCCAAGATTAAAAGTAGAAATAGAAGATGGGCGCGACGTGCCTTAAAATCCTAGTTTTTTTATATTTACCAATATTTTGTTTTACTATAACCTAATTTCTATGAAAATATAAAATAACATAAAGAGTTTATATATGTTTGCCTGTGTATAATCTGTTCAAGTGCAAATTTCACCGAATCTATCCGAGATTTCAATCGAGAAATTTCGGAGGAATTTTGCGCATTTTCTTTCTTCTCGGTTCCCGTCTTCAAACATTTCCCGGATTTCCATTCTAAAACGGACAAAATTGATTTTAAGTTTTCCTACAAATTTTACAAAGCTCTTACGAGGAGATTTAGAGGCATAGCACTTTTGGGTATTCACCGGCGATATCTAAAAATATATAATTTTTTTACGAGTAAAATAAGTTTTTCAAAAATTGATTAATTTATTGCATGCTTGGTTAGTCACATGACAAGATAATTAAATGCTCATCCAATTTTATTCATCCATAAAACTATTAATCAATCAAGCAAGACCTTTTAGTGTAGTTTGATAATCTCTTAATAAAGCCAAATACAGATGGTTCAATATAATCTTTTTAAAATAAAATGCTGTTAAAGTTTCCTTTTTATTAACTTTTAATCCTTAAAACTGAGATCAATTTTTTCATGTTATTGTGTATTTTTAGTTATTTGCTGTTTATCTATATATATCTTAAAAACTGTTAAAAAGAAAGAAAAAGTATTTATCGCTGTTTTCCTTTACTGTTAAATAAAAGGTTGATTCGTGAATTGTAAATAAACTTTTGCTTCAATCCCAAGCATTGAAATGGCAAGGTGATCTTGCTAAATTAAACATGACAATTACAAGTAGAGATACGCATTGTTTTGAATTTTTAAGAGGCTTTAAAACAATCTAAAACCGGTTTCTAAATTGTATTCTCACAACTTTGCTTTTATCACCATGTGAGAAATCTAAGAAAATGTATTTTTTTTCGTAGGCCAGTGTACTTAATTGTGCACAATGTAACAAAAGGAAACTTTTGAATAATTAGACACATTTCAGATTCTTAAAGTTAAAAAAAGAAATAACGATGTCCATCTCTATTTACAGGTTTACAACCTTTTACTTCCTTCAAGCAATTCACAATTGTTAAAAGAAATCATTGAACCAGGAAATGCAAATCTTGAAGAAACAGACAACAGGATGTTTTAAAATGGTATTTAAAAAAAAAAATTATTTCTCTGACAAAATATTGTCTTTCACACGATGATAAGCAATGCGTTCTAAGCATGGAAATCGTAAAATTTCCAAACCGTAGATGTAATTGTGCGTATAAAAACACGATTTTTTGCCGAATTTCTGGCTAATAGGTCTAAAAACCTCAATTGACATTCAGTCCATTCAGCATTTCAAAAATCAATAGAAGTCACTAGACAAAAAAAAAGATGCGTCAGGACTCAGGATCCGACGAATACTGCCCCGTCGTTTTTGGTTCAATATTTTCAAAATTGTTTGGCCCAAAAACTGATTTTTTGGGACTCTGCCATTTCTTAATCTCAAATATCAGTTTTTGCCTCTAGTTAGTTTAATTATCAACGGATTTTTACGATTTCAGGATTTCTAAATTCCAAGTTCTTTTGGTGCCCATATCGATGTATTTTGAAGAAATATTTTTTTTCGCTTTCATAAGTGAATTATTCAACCTTAAATTTCATAAAAACCGGTTTCTGGTTGGCAATTTTAGCTTGCGAAAAAATCGTCTTTTCTAAATGTTTTTTTTTACATCCAAAACCAATCTTATGCACATAGAGGCGAGTGCAATGGCCAAAATAGATCACCCAAAATGGGAAAAGACATGAAACAAAGAGCTTAAAAAACATAGATTTTCGAAATTAAACTGGATAAGTTAAGAACGGCTGCATAAACACACTGGTAATATTGTTATTGAAAGGCTAAAAAAATGTTAAAGTAATTAATCTAAAATTGTTAAGCAAATATGCTCGTGCTTTAAAAGTAGTGTGTATGTTATTGTGTGCAGTCTTAGGCAAAATGAATTTAGTCTTTTTACCAAATTCCCAATGTAAAAAAACGTTCAATATTCTCTTATTTATAAAAAACTTGCCAAATTTATTCCACTGTCGTTCAAATCTTCATCGTTAATGTCGTCTTTCACATCTTCGGGAGAACTGGACAAATCGTCCTCCCTCCTAATACACTGGGAATAGTCCTCATCACATAAAAGATAATCGTCCATACACTTTAAGCTGTAGTCGTCGTCCATTTCACTTTTTCCTAGTTTAAACTCGTCTTCTGCTAGTAGAGTGTCGTCGTCCTTGAGCCCTGAATAGTCCTCTCCTAGACTTAGAATAGTCCGGATTCCCTCCTCGTCCACATTTTCCTCGTACTGGTATTCACTCAAATAGTCCTCCTGAAATACAAATCAATAAATATATAAAACTAAGTTTTCAGAGTACCTCGAGTCCGTCTTCTATTAACGAAAAAAGTTCGCAGACTTTAAAATATATTTTCGTGTACTTTCAAAAATTTTATGAAATTCGATTTTTCGAACAAACTAACGCTTAAATACTTTGTAAAATTATGAAAAAAGGAAAGATTTAGAATTATTTGCCATTATGAGAATAAAAAATACAACTTTACAAAAAAATAAATATTTATGGTTTTGTTTTTAATTCTAGGTATTGAATTAAAAAGAATATGTACAAATATTGAAAAAATGGGAGGGGGTTAAAGGTATTTGCCAAAATGCGAAAAATACAACGTATTTAAAAAAATATTTAGGGTTTTGTTTTTTAATTCTAGGTATCTGAAATTAAAAAGATTGTGTAATAATATAGAAAAAATTGGGAGGATGTTTGTTTAAACATATTTAAAAAAAAAATAAAGATAAGAAACAGGGTGAAAATATTATGAAGGTAATTAAATCCAATTGCTTGCAGAAATACCGATAATTAGTTAAAATAAATGTCTCGAATTTGAACTAATTAAATATTTTCCAACTTAATAATAAATGATTAGATAAATAATATAACGATGGTTCACCCTGTAGTGCATTTCTGAGATTATGTTACAACTATACATACAACCCTTATCTTTAAATATAATTAGTCAGAAGTAAATTTTAAATATTGATAAATGCATTTCGTACTAATTCCAGATTTTAATTTGAGATTATTTAAAACTGTGATATAGACAATTGAAAATAATTAAAAAATTTTAAATTGATCATTCAAAAAATTGGGCCCTTTCTTTAATTACAAAGCAAATGAGGTTTTTTTGTAATAAATAAATAAGTAAAAAAGAAACAATTTTATACTATACAGGTTGGAAAAGTAAAAAGTACAGTTTAATTAGGCAAAAAGTTGAAAAGATAAAAACACAATTTAAAAAAGTAAAATGTTAAGATTAAGACTCTTACAAGAAAAGATATGAAATTCTAAAAGTACAGATTAGAAACTTGGAAAAACAAATTGAAAAAACAAAAACTCAGATTAGAAGTGGAAATCAATTTGGGCTTGTATCGTTAATAATCTGAAAGACAGACTCGAAATTTTAAAAACACAGATTGTAAAGTTGAAAGTAAAGATTGTAAAGTTGAAAGTAAAGATCGGAAAACTAATTCTTTTTTTTACAGTTAAGTAAGTTTTGTGCAGATTAAAATGTAAAGGTCGGTAAATCAAAAAATGCAAATTGAAATGTTAAAAGTTTTTTACTTAAAGTTTAGATTGGTCTGTTAAAAAGTAGAGAATATAAAGTTTGAAAAAAGATACATTTCAAAAAGTTCAAAGGTAACGATTCAAAAGCTAAACGTGATTTTCTGTAATCTCGTAACCCCCCCCCCCTTCCCCCATTCCGGCTCCAACCCTACTTCTTGAACTCTTTAACTCTTTGAATACTTTCCAGCTTGTATTTGAACTTGTTTCTAATTGTCATCCAGGCTGGGATGGGGGGGGGGGAGGAAGCGGGGGTTTACTAAATGGGAGGGGGTTTACTAAATAGGGGGGGGGGTGAGGGAGGTATACCTTATCCCAAAGTTGCGACTCTGATGAACTATGGTTGCTCCCGTCCTCTCTTCTACTCCCGTCCTTGCCCCGGGTATAGCCGGAGTTTGAGCTGGAGCAGGTTGAGATAGAATCTCCAAACTCCGAATCTGAGTTCCAGTCTCCGGTCTCAACTTTTATCTGCTCTAGGTTCAAGTTCTTAAACCAGTTCTCCTCGAGGCCGATTTCATCGGTTTTCGTTGGATCTCTAGTCCTGGACATATCTTGATCCAGGTTTAGGTTCAGGTTCAGGTTTCGGAGCTCCGCTGTCTCCGGGTTATTCTCAGCTTCTTCTCCGGTTATCAGAGCTTCAGTTGAACTTGACTCCTCAATTTTAGATTGGAGATCTCCTAGGAAGTTAGAATTGGAATACATCTTATATTTTTTATGTTTCTTATCGTCATAGTCTTGTCCTTATCGGAGTACTTGCCCTAGGCTTAATTCTTGTCTTAACCCTAGTCATTGTTCTTGTACTGATTCTAGCCCTTATCGTTGTCCTTGTCCTTATTCTTGTCCTAATCCTTACTCTTCTTCTAGTCCTTACTCTTCTTCTAGTCCTTGCTCTTATTTAAGTTCTCGGTCTGTTCGTATTCCTTGTTCTTGTCATTGTCATAAGTACCTGAACTCGCATAGAAACTATCTGAACTAGTCGACATGTTCATACTAGTCGACATATCCATCCCAGTCGACATAAACTCCTTGTCGCCTTGTTCCATTCTGTTAAAGTGCTCCAACCCTCCGCCCATCCTGCCGTGTCCACTTCTATATCCAATCCTCGGCATTAGCTCAAGGCGGCATGGTAGAGATTTCCGCCATTCTCGCTTCCGTCGATCCCCATCAGAGTCTGAACTTTTTCCGATACGCTTCCGCCTTAAAACCAATATCTCCGCCTCGCTCGCCAACCTTTAGACAAAAAACTCTCATAGTTGGACAATTAAAAAAGTACAAAACTAAATTTTTACGCAAACATTTAAGGTAAATAAATCTGAACTTACTTAGCATGCGTTTAAAGCACAATCAAAGTTGGTGAAAATTTACGAATAACTTTCATTTGCATAAAATTGAAATTCTGACCTTTTTACGTCTTCAGCCGAGTAGGTCAGCTTCCGCTCAGGCTGAAGCTTAGAAGAACTTTCTGCTTTATCAAATCTAAATTACAAATAGTTAGAATTTTTAGCAAATACACTTAAAGAAATTGAGTCTTTGCCACAAACTCTGATGTTCTGTCCCCATATCTTTGTAACCCAATGTCGTAGACCATACATATTTCAAACTATGAATTCTTTTAGATCAAATATTTTCAAAAATTGACAAATCTATAATCCATACTACAAAGTTTTCACTGATACAAATTTGTTCTTAGCAATCTTAAATGAGTTGAAATTGATTCAAAAAATAATAAGAGCTGACAGTTTCGCATATTTTACAAAATAAAAATATTTTTTTTATTTCTTTCTTGATGTTGATAAACTTTAAAGGCATTTTCTCAATTTTCCATATCATGAGAGTGTCCAAATTGAAATTGAGTTTTGCCACAAAATAAAATCTTCTGATTCCTGTATTTTTGCAACCTGATAGTGAAACCTATGATATTTAAAACTTAAATTATTTGATTTAAAAGAAATCAAAGTTTGACATTTCTCAGCTCTACAACATTAGGTTGCGAAGATATTCAGAAAATCAGAGTTCTTGCAAAGACTCAATTTCCTTCTCAAAAAGGTTAATACAAAATTTTAAAATATTATAACTTTCAGAGATGTCTCTTAAATTTGTTACGAAACTATAGTGTACTTTATCATTCTTCCTCACTTCGTCGTGAATTTCATAATTAACGTGCTAAAAAGTAATTGTCGTTCTATAATGTTAAGTTAGCTGTATATTATAGCACTTTATATTTTGACTTCTGCCTATAACACTATTATTTTGACGACGTGCTATAAAGTTCTAGAACTTAAATTTTCTCTATATTTATATATAAGAGAACATTTCTGTCCAAAAACTTTATAACACTGCGAACCAAAATCACAATGCTATAAATAGTTATAAAGTAAAAAAAAAACCCTAGCGAAAAAGAAAACACTTTATTTATTTTGTGAATCTGAAGAGAATACACGCAGATTTAACAATTAGGTTTCAGCAAACTGGAACGTCTGAGTTCTGATCACTTTCTCTTTAATGAAAAAGTTTAAAAAGGCAATTCTGTGAATTCGAAGGTGGTTGAAAATAGACCCTAAATGCATGTAATTAAATTAAAATTGAAGATGGCCCTGGATAGTCCATGGGTAAGAAACAAAGAAATTGTAATTTCGAATAACGTTCTGTCTGATGTTTAATATCGCACTGTTCTATAGTTATATTTACATCACTATGTATAGTAATATATTTTATACCAAGTGTTTTTAACAGCAGTGAAAATAGATTTTTTTTACAATATCAATAATCAACATATTTTAAATTCAAATTTCAATGAATTGTTAAAGAAAGGTAATTACATTTTTCTAAATTGTGATTTTTTTGGAGACTACTTAAAAAATGTTGAACAAAAAAATTTGTTTGTTCACAATTTTTTTTATTTTTCATCATTCTTCATGTGTGAACAAAATTGCGCAAACCATTTATGAGAATATAATGATTTGCTGGAAGTGTTTCGATTTAAAAATTCATCAATATCATCATGTAGAGTAGAGAAAGTTTTTATATGATCGAAACTAATTTGAGTTTTAGCAAAACTAGATTTTATCAAAATATATCAATTTTATTGTTAAAGAAATAATTGCCTCATGAGCCATGAAAAAACAAAGCTTTAAAAACATATATTTTTGAGTGTATCTATGTACTTTTAAAAAAAGCGTATCATAACCATTTTTTGCTAAAATCATTTTTAAAATTGGCGCGTAGCAATTGTATTCTCTGGATGGCTTAAGTTTAGAAAATCATGTCGCCACTCTTATAAATCTTTTTGTGCGTCTGGCTTAGACGGGGGGGGGGGTACATGGCATTAGGCCGCACCCTTTAGCATGAAATAATCCCCTATTAAATATGCTAAACAGTCTTAGGTTAAGCTTACATCATCATAGGTTAACAAATAAATCAAACTTGAATTTATCAGTTTAACAAGGCTGGTCACGCTTCATTAGAAGGTTAAAACTTCAATAATTTAACAGGAGGGTGTGGACGTATTTTTACATACCCTTCACATAGGAAATCTTTAAACCCTTATATGAGCTATAATGAGGAAGATGTCCTCGCTGTTCTGACTAAAAAGGTGCTAAATTTTGACAATTTCCAGAGCATAAATCCGCAATTCGTTTACAAAAAGAGGACAAATTTGACAATAATCAATTCTTATTTTAAAAAAACAAGAATTTCTTAATCATTCTTGATCATTATCTGAATGGGACATGCCAATCTTTGGATGGAAAGTTGCTTGAAATTACGTTAACAGTCCCTTTAAACAAGCAAATCTGGCTTGATCTCCTCAAGCACATGACAAGCCGAAACAAATATTTTTGACGCGTGACGGCTCATCGGACTATCGTCATTTTGTGTTTTAAAGCCATTGTTTGTCAAATGTAATGTTGTGCGCACTCTAAATATTAGATAGCAAGGTGAATAATAAAATTATCCGCGCCGCACCCTTTCTCATATCTCTCGCACTCATCTCACAAATTTGTAGAAAATATTCAGAAACTTGATGGAGTCGGATCTTAAAACAGATTGTTAAACAAATTTTTTAAATTTTTTTTAATTCTTTCTCTAAATAATTAAAATGTTTGTTTTTGGCTTTTGCACGGTTCCTCAAAAGTTTAAGAAGTTTAAATTTTTTCGATATTTTCTGTTCTAAAAGTTTACTTTTATTAAACTATTCAAAATGTTGACTCTTACTAAAGAAATTGGTTTAAATGGTTGATTTTTTCCATATTTTTTTATTATTTAAACTTGGCAAAAAAATTGATCTTCTTGAACGTCAAAAAATATTTACAAGGACAACATAAAAATGTCCTCCTTGAACAATAGTTTATATTTGGCGTCTCTACATAGTTTTTAATTTTTTTAATTATTACCTTGGAGTTCGTTTTTTCGTGTCTTCATCGTCCGACTGATTTCTCGACGGAACACTTCGATCCTCCCGTCCCCAGAGGACGCTTCGTCGGTCCTCGACGCCCCACAGGACATTCTGATGGGCCTCCGAATCCCAGAGAGTTTTTTTATTGTCCTCTGGACGGTTCCAGTTGATAAAGCTACGGTTGGACTCTTCCCTTCTTCTTTGGCCTCTGCTGACCTCCTCCTTACCTTTACTGACCTCCTCCAAACCTCTGCTAACCTCTTCCTGACCTGTATCAGTATCCTCTGAGAGGTCAGACACATGTCTGCAGTGGAAAGTCGCAAAATTAGGACCTCTGAAGTAATCGTGTTTCTTAATTCTTTAAACAGGGTATGCAATACATAGCTACATATGGAAATAAAATCGCGCGTATATAATATATATGACGTGTTATATAGGTATTGTTCCAAAGGGGTGGGGGTTAAGTAAGATCCGATCAACAGGATAAACGTAAACAAACAAACATAAACTACAGGATGTTCTGTTTTAACCAAACACCGGAAATTCTAGTTTAAAGGTTTCAAATATACATACACGACAATGCACGGTAAAGCACGCTAATGAATGGTTTCTTGAATATGAACAATCTCTAGCTTTTCTTTTTATTCATCGTAATTTTCATTCAATATTTATGATGCAATATTCAGTATTCATTATTTAATATTCATTATCCAATATTCAATATTCATTATTCAATATTCATTATTCAATATTCAGTATTAAATATTCAATATTCATTATTCATAAAGTCATTATTTAATATTCATTAATCAATATTCAATATTCAATATTCATTAATCAATATTCAATATGTACAATATTAAATAATCAATATTCAAAATTCAATATTCAATATTCATTATTTATTATTCAGTATTCAATATTCAATATTCATTATTCATTATTCAGTTCATCCTGTGTTTAGCATTCATCCGAAAATTAAGCCTATTTTTATAATCACATATTTTCTAGATTATAGTTTAAGAATATATTCTTTTTCCGTCCTAATTTCATCTATCCTTTTTGTCATTTATTCATTCTTTTGTAAATTTATCTTTTTATTCTTCAATGTATTCATCACTTTTTATTCATCTGTCTCATTATTCATCTATAGAAACATATAATGCACCTTTTTATTTTATTTTTCATTTCTTTAAACATTATTTATTCATTTTTATCTTAATAAATACATTATTATTATGTGTATATAATGCAATACATATTTTGTGGAATTGACCATTTTTAAACCTTCGCCCCCCTCCCCTCATTTTAAATTGTATTTTATAGACCCTATTGTGTACGGTTAAAAAATTACACACAAATTCCAGGGGGTGGA